TAGCCCCCTTTCAGTACTGGAAGGCTGCTATAAGGTCTCCCCAGAGATGTCCCTGCCCAAGGCAGGGGGCTTGGACTAGATGACCTTTAAAGGTCCTTTCCAATCCAAACCATTCTACGATTCTATGAGGTTTCTTCTGTGCTTGAAGTCTGGGGGGGGCGGGAGCTGACACTCTCAGCTGGATGACATGGAGCATCCCAAGACCTGGGTGGAGAAGGAAGGGGAAATCCTTGACCTCCTGTAATTTCATCCTTGTTACCCCCCACACCTTTAGCAAGCACCCTTTGCACAGCAAATCCGAACACCCAGAGCACAGGCACGGGACTGGCAGGATGAATTTCCACCAACAGCAGGGTGACGTGCAGCCGGAGGCACGCTGAGCCCAGCGGCACCGCAGCGGGTAAGAAAAAGCTGCTGGTTCCCCCACCACCCCCCTTTCCCTGCAGATAGGAGCGGTAAGACGTTTCCCGTGGCAGCATTATCGCACGACAGCAAATCCGAACACCCAGAGCACAGGCACGGGACTGGCAGGATGAATTTCCACCAACAGCAGGGTGACGTGCAGCCGGAGGCACGCTGAGCCCAGCGGCACCGCAGCGGGTAAGAAAAAGCTGCTGGTTCCCCCACCACCCCCCTTTCCCTGCAGATAGGAGCGGTAAGACGTTTCCCGTGGCAGCATTATCGCACGCATGCTTCCCCGACGGCCGCTAGCTATCTCCCTCTGCAAACGCCTCCCTTCCCCTAAAGCCCCACGGCCGTTTTACATGCCACCAAAAGAGCAAAAAACCCAACTTGCATAACAGCTGCTGCACCCAACAGACATCTGCGCTTCTTTCAGTTTCTCCAGCAACCCCTGGAGACCCTTTCTTGGGACCCCTCCTTTTGGGCTGCAGACAAGTCACCTGTCCCTTGCTTTGGGGTCCAAAATATCTAATAATGTCATTTCATGAAGGATGAGCAAGAAATAACTCCAGAAAGCTGCTACCCACCGGCACACCTGACCCCAGGCAGTACTCTCACAATTCTGCCATCTGGTTGCTTCAAAAGGGGAAATTTGGGTGACCGTGGTGCAGCCCTTGAGCCCCCCCCAACCCAGCCAGCGAAGGGGAAGCACTGAGGCTGAAGGCACCCCGAAAAGAGCTGCTGGGAACAGCTGCACCATGAAGAGGAGGAGGACAGCATCCGAAGTGAGACAGCTGGGGCTGTACCACCCACCCTCAGTCCCTCTGCGTGCTGCAGGCAGAGAGACGGGGAGGAGGGAAGGAGGTGACATCACGCCGGTGCCTTCTCCATCCCTCCTCATCAGGAGATCTTGCAGCCAGAGGTGGTTCCCTGCCCACTTTCCCAAAGACAGGGCACCAGCTATCTGGACCACATTCTGCCAGAGGTGAGCAGGGTCCCACAGCATCCTCCAGCATCCAAGGGGGATGCACAGCGCCCGCAACGGCATATCGTTGAATCATGGAATGGTTTGGGTTGGAAGGCACCTGAAAGATCATCTAGTTCCAACCCCCCTGCCATGGGCAGGGACACCTTCCAGTAAACCAGGCTGCTCAAAGCCTCATCCAACCTTGAACACCTCCAGGGATGGGGCATCCATAATAAAACCCCTCTGCAGTTCACCACTGCAGAGTCCCATCACAAAGGTCTTCTCCACGTCACCCAGGAATCGAAGGCCACAGGTCTCGTTTAACTGGGCATTTCTCCAAAACTAAAAAAACCCAACCAAATCAGGCTATTCAAAGCCCAGCTCACATGACTCCGTTTAGGCAGGTCAGGCCATGAGATAAGTCATAGCCCTTAAGCCTCTGGGCTCCTCCGCTGTCTGGACCAAACCCCTCCAGGCACAGACAGAGCCACCCACACGCCCTTTTCCAATGGTTTGAGGAAGATAAAAGCTGTCCCACCCCCAGATGTATAACACCCCCACCCCTCAAGGATGAGAGCTACTCAGCAAAGTCCAAGTCATGTGTCCTCCTCCAGGCAAGGAAGCCCTTTACCCAAGCCGAGCTTTGTCCTTTGTTCTGGCTGCCAGTATTTGTTCATGACTCTAAGCCACAATAAAGCAAAGGTATAAACAACCCCATCCAGCTGAGCTTGCTGTGCTGCCAGGTTGGCTTGGTGGCCCTCCAGGTATGCACCAAATTCATGGCTTGGTGATTTCATCACAGCCCATTTACTGCACTATCAAAGCTTGAATTTTTTTGCCTTTAAAAAAAAAAAGAAAAAGAAA